TTTGAGCAAAATCCATCTGTAAACAGCCGAGAAATGGTTGCTTTTTATGATTTTTTAGCACAAAAATGGCCGCCATTCGGCCATCTTGAATCAGATCGTAAAACAAAATGATGTGCATCAAGGTTCTATAATGTCCGACGTATATACAAGGTTTGAACAAAATCCATCTGTAAACAACCGGGAAATGCTTGATTTTGATGATTTTTAGCACAAAAATGGCCGCCATTCGGCCATCTTGAATTAGATCATGAAACAAATTGACGTACATATGTATGATATCATGTATGATGTTGTTGTGAAGTTTGATTGTGATTGGTCCAGGCATTTCTAAGATACAGGTCCGGATGCACGCACAGACGCACGCACGGAGGTCAAAACATAAGTCCCCGTTTTCGGACTGCGTCCGAACGAAAGTATGGTTCTATAATCCAAATGAAATGGCCTACTCCCCCTCCCCCCAGAATGCAGTGTCTTAATTTTTACATTGATAATTTTGATCTGTCATTTTGTGCATCACCTTTTAGAAGCACATATGAAAGTTGTTAGTGGCCATAGCAATAAATTTTAATAATATGTGGTTATCACAAACATAACGCACAGTATGGACGAAGTCTGTATAGCAGAAGTATGTCAACTGATGTGTAGCAGAAGTTGATGCAACCACATGATATCTGAATGCATACATTGCAGTATCCTTGTAATAGCAATACTACCGGTATTGTATGTAATATTGTATTTTCCCAATCCAATCAGTGTATGAAATCAGTGGCTCGGTTTTGCTATGACCTTAATGTACAATGATGTCCACCATCTTGAAAATACCTCATAGTTATTCCATATTTGGAATTCCTAATAAAGCAGGATGCATATACTAGTACTTAGTGCAATTCCGCGACATTGTGACTCACTGTAACTTATGAGGTTACAGTGTTTAAGAAATACTTGATATATCTTCATGAAAGTTACACGTACCAGTAATAATCAACACATCGCTTGACATCATATAACTAATGGTTACTTACATTCTGGGAAAGTGTTATCCAAATAATCTAAAATTGCATTGGAATCTGGAACATTGTTTTCACCATGTTTGATTACTGGGACTTTTCCTAATGGATTCATGTCCAAGTAGCTTGGTTGTAAAGTTTCTTCGCTATGCATATCTGTAACTATCTTCTTGTACTTC